AAAAAAAAAAAAAAAAAAAAAAAAAAAAAAAAAAAAAAAAGTGGTGTGCTGTTTTAGAAGTGTGTAAATATGCCATAAAAACTCATGTAGCAACAGGAGAGGATCTCATGCCTGTTACTGTCTTTGTGTCACTTTAGGTAGAGTGCCTGAAATAATAAGTACAAGATTGAATTTAACAGTAAATACTTATTGTGCCTTTTTAAACATACTTTTCACGGTTTATTGTCAAAACTGTATTTTTTCACAATTCCCTTCTAATCCTTATTTCTGACTCCTCTGATGGGACAGGCTCTATGGTTGCTTTGATGGAGTAACCAGCCTTTCTAGGGGTATTACTTAGGTGTGCTGATAGATTATTTCTTTTTCTTTTTTCCTTCTTTCCTCCTATAAAACATGTAAATGTTTTGAGTGTCCAGCTCATATGTTGCCTTTTAAAAGGATTCTGCTGAAATTCCATTGAAGAAATCTGAGGTTTTCTCGACATCTTTATGTGAAATATTTCCCTCGCATCTGAGACTGACCTGTCGTTCGCTGCCTTTTCTGTCTGTAGCGAAGCCCTGCGTCTGGCCTTGGCGAGATCCGTAGATGTTCTTTTGCAGGAAGCCTGTGCCACGTTAGTGGAATCCCACTCAATGATTTAGAGGATTCTGACAATGATGTTTCGTTGGAGCCTGGCAAAGGAAGAATCCTAATATTATATCTATATACTATATCAGGAAGAATCCTAATACTCCCTACATACTAACTAGTAGTTAGTATGTAAGGGAGTGCAGTGGTTTTGGTGTGTGTGCCCGCCCTTGTGAGGGGGAGGATAAAAACGGGGAATCATAAGGAACCACAAGCGAAGAGCTCGTTCTTCTCTTACTAAATTCGTAACTTTCTTAGCCATTTGCACTAGACTGAAACACTCAGGAAAGTAATTCCTTATTGTTTTCAAGGCTTGAGGAATTTGGTCATTACTATTATTTTGTTTTTAACCTTCTGTAAAAATCTCTGGAGTGAGAGTCAACTGCAGGTATATCTGATACTGTATTCTTCCCTTGCAAAGAAAGTGCATGCAGCAGATATATAGGAGGTGTGTAAATCATTTAAGGGGGACAAAACAAAAGTGCAGCTTAAACAAGGCTCTGTGTGAGGAACCAGCAATGCGTTTTCTGAACCAGAACTCCTGAGTCATGGATCAAATTGGACTTTATCTTAAGGTGATTATTGTCTAAGGAAGAGGTGGTCTATAAAAATGCTGAGTTTTGCTGAGAGAAGATCTGTTGCTCTCATCTCCTGTAACCTGAGGTGTCATAAGGCATCAAAAATAGATGAGGCCTATTGAATGTATCCAAATGCTGCTTTGCTTTGCTGTGGCTGCATTTTCAACTGTCTGCTTCTGTCTCCATCTTTACCTTTCCTCATAGGCTAAAAATACAGCCTTTTCCCGAAAGGTTCTGGGAAATTGGATGGAGCTGCTGATTTAGGAGCATATGTGGAATCATACTTGTATAATTTTTAATGTTTGATAACCCTTTAATGAGTTTATCCAATTTCTGCCTTTAACAAGCCAGATTTGTGCAGTGTTTGGAGAAAGCCTATGTTTTGATGGATTAGATTCCAGATGTAATTAGCTGGACTGTTGCCATCCATCAATATTAGGAAGAGGAGCCAAGTGTTGCACTGTTCTTAATCTTTGGTGAATTGTCAGAGGAAATGTTCCAGGGTAAAGTATGGGCTTTCTAGACTTCATAAGGGAGGGGAGGGAGGGAAAAAAGAGTGCATCTGTATGAGTTGATGCACTGAAAGAAGCTGATTATTGGTCTGTCTTCTTCAAAACATTGTTTGATGTCTGACTTTGATACTTTATTGAATTTCAGTTTATTTTAGGCTTCAATTTCTGCCTTCAACTTTTTTGTTTTTTAAAGCTAACCATACCCCCTCAGTTGGTTTTAACGCCTACAGTATTATAAACCTACAGTATTATTCCTGGGAGTTTTCTTTAATTTTTTAAAACTTATTTTTTTAGGGCGGATATGGAGAGACTTGTGAAGTCTTAATACAGTACCATCCTCGACTTTTTCAGACAATAATTCAAATGACACAGAATGAAGATTTACGGGAAAACATGGTAATACATTATCATGTGTTGCAAAGCTACAAATGTGTGTTTTAGAGATCTGATTGTTTAATATAGGTGATCTATGCACTGTTTTTCTTATCCTATGGAGAATTTATATTGTTAATCTAGCTTTAGACAAGATATTCAGGGATTAAATGTAGAATTCATTTAATTTAGTGTTACATTTTTGTGTGCTTGGCAAAGTGATCTAGAGTGTGAGAACTGACAGGGCAGACCTTGCGAGTGCTCATAAAAGTGATGCTGGTGGAGCATTCTGAACAGACAGTTACTGTGTGTGATGGGGCATGTCCTCCTTCACACAGCTGCCACCTGCAGATAACTCTTCTAGGACGTGTCTTGCATTTGGACACTTGGAGGGAGCCGATGAGTAAAAGATTCCAGCTATAGGTTCTTTTTCTGTTGTTGCCATAGATGAAACTATTGCCAAGCCGTTCCTTTTCAGAGGTTCTTCTGTACCCTGTTTATTTCATTATTGTGGGTTAGCACACTGTAAAGCAAGAGAAAAGCAAGTAAACGAAAATCTCATTTCGTCATTGTTCAGGGAGAAGGAAGTATGGGATGGTTTTACTCTCCTTTCCAAATCCAGTTACTCCGTTTTTTTTTTAATACATTGCTTGCTTGCAAATAGCTACAAATAATTGTGCAGACCCGAGATGAAAGTGGAAGATGTTTGTGGTATTGTGCAGTGAGATGCTGCTGGCACTCGGCTTGGTTTGCCGGATTTATGAAATTTGTGCTGTTCTCTGTAATCTTATTGCTTCCATTATAAGACTGAACATTCACAGGTATGTATAGAAACATTGTTTACATTTCTGACACTGGATTGAATTTTACAAGGTAAGATGCTAAGTGAGAATTCTGGAAGAATGGGGCAGTGATGTTCCAAGTAAAAGGTTAAGAATAGAATCCACAGAACAAAAACAATGATAAATGAGAAAACATACTGTTGTAAAAGAAAGATGAAGAGCCATTGCACAGATGCTAAAGAGATTAATGAGAATTATAAACATAGGAAACTAAAAGGTTGGAAGAACTGAAATTATTTAGCTTAAAGGAGGCTTGGGTAAAATGAGTTTGCTAGTCATTTTAAATATGTGAAAGACTGCTCAAAAGACCAAAGAAATGACATTTTACAGCAAATAAGATAAAGGTGTTGCTGGAGACCCATCAGAAAAACTCTAGGATACTTAAGGATTGTGAAATATTAAAAGAAATCCTATGGGGAAGCTGCAGAGCTTCTGGAATTGAAGAGCTCTGAAAGCAGCCAAACAAACTAGACAAGTCAGTCTGGATCACAGTTACATTTTTCCTGTTTTTGGGCAAGCGGTTGGACTAAATGACCTCATGAGATTCCTTTTCATCCCACTTTTCAATAATTCTATGAGAAAGATTACCAAGCTCTCTGAAAATGAGAGTGTGATCAGGGAAGAAACAGTAGGGATGCATGAAGAGCAGCGTTGATGAAGAGTTAGTTTATCTGAAAAAGAATTTATATTTTAGCCAGAAAAAAGTACGGAACAAAGGAATTGAAGACAGAGTAGTGTCTGGGCACTGGCAGTCTCTAGTCTTTGTGAGCCAAATGATGGTGTTAAAAGGGGCAAATTGGATTACAGTGATTATGAGGAATTATTGATTAGCTGGGTATGACTTTTTTACCTGAGAGAGGATACTGAAAAAAAGCATATGCCATTTATTTTTCAGCTGAAAATTGGTTGTACAAATTAACATTATATGGCTTATATGGCTAAATATTTAGCATTCTTTGCACTCAAAACAATTATATCCTGTAGTGTGTAAACTGACTGTAAAACACATGCATTTTCTATAAACTTCTGTTTGAAAGATATAATGAAACATTAGGTTAGACTGGATTTTGCATAATAGAGAAATTTGCATTAACATTTCTAGAAAATTAGAGTGCTAGTGATATAAGGGGCTAATGATCTGAGTCAAATCTAAATCACGTTATACAACCCCTTGACATTATGCAATTTCTTCTATTCTAATATTCCAGTTGCGGCAAGTTCTAGAACACTTGTCTCAGCAGAGTGAAAGCCAGTACCACAAAATCCTGACAAGTCTGGCTGAAGTCGCTACAACAAATGGTCACAAGCTGCTGAGGTAAGTGTCAAAAGATCACAAGTAGGTTGCTGACCTACCTCGCTACCTGCCTAACTACCTGGTGCTACTTAATAGGGTTAAAACTCGCAGCCATCTGTTGCTGGCCGTGTGCTGGAGTAGATGGTTTCAAAGCTGATTGTGTATGACAGTGCCTGCCTAGATTACTGCCTGCGCAGGGATTTGGGGAGAGAAAGTTGGTGCTCTCCTCCTAGAGCTGCTGGCAAGTAGAAACTTGGGTCGGTGAGGAAGAAAAATCCATTTTTTTTCCTTTTTTTTTTTTCTCTCTTGTCTATAAGAATCTCTGCACTGCAGCAGACCAAACCTGTATCTAGCTGTGTCTCAGCAGCGCTAGTAGCAGTTACTTGGGAAAGCACCTAAAATAAACAAGCATCTGCTTAGCTTCCTGTTCTAACTTTTGTGGCCTCTGAGGGGCTTCCTATAAAACGCCTCATCTGTAGTCTGCTGAAACACTGAACAGTAGAATCTGTCAGTTTTCCCTAGCTAGCAGGATTTGTTTTAACAGTTATGCCTATTATAAGCTAAGGCAATATTTTCTGGAAGGATTAAAGAGCATGAAAGCATAACACAAGTTCCTTAGTAAAATGTTCTGTTTTTTGGGGGGAGGGAGAATAGCGAAGCTTAAGAGATCATTTTGTTTCTGGAGAGTGTCAGCATAGGCTGTGGGGAAAAAAGGGATTTGGAGTGCTTCCGTTTAGGCGTTTGAGGGCTTCTAGCAGTCCATCAGTTATCAGGGAGGCTAAGTTATATACCTTAGTTCTAGCTGCCTTTATTCTCATCCTTATCAGACATGTTTGTAATCGGCTTCTAAATGGCAAGTGAGAACTACGTGTTGCCAGGGATCTCATCACCCTGTTAATCACCATCTTGTTTTGAGGATTTTTGCTTCAGTGAATTCATCTAAAAGATTTAAACCCACAAATTTTTAGGATTAAAGTGGAAAGAAGAATGCCACTTCTTCCTCTAAAATAGAAGAAAGTGCCATTTTATCTTGCTGCAGTAGAGATAACCTTTTAAAGAACTGTAGCCCTTGGCGCGCTCGAGTGTACAGTAGGCTTAACTTGTAACACATTCCAACTTTGGTAGAGCCAGTAGGTTTTCAACATACAAATTGTGCTAAAGTTTATCCCACCAGGAAAGAGTTTCAAGTTTACTTTGTGTATGGACATTGTCAGCAATAGTGGGAGCTGGATTAGATCAAGCGAGGCAATATTTATTTCTATTTCATTATCTTCAAAGATAAATTAAATTGCTTGCTTTGTGTTTAGATTTGAATTATTGGTATTTCTTTATATGTAGCAATGTCAAGTTTCTTCTGTATGATTCTTGAAACAAATATGTGTGAACTTGTGCTCTCTCTGAATCTGAGCTGGTCTTCATACCTGTATTGCTGAGTGTGGATTAACTAGCTCAGGTTAGAGATGAGCTGGAAGCTTTCCACTGTGTTGCATGGGAAGGCACTTCCAGAGAGGCTTGTAGCTGGAGCCCCTTACTGACCCACTTATATTTGGTACTTTATTACTATAAAGTCTCAAAGAAAATGGGATTTTTTTCTTTTTCCATTAAAAGATAGTTTTGCAAAAGCCACATTCCTGGTTATTCTGTTCTGTGTTGGAGGTTTCAACCTGCGCTTCAACTAAGTATTTCTTAATTATTTTGCTATTAGCATGATGAGAATGAAGGTAGTGCTTGGCGACTGGGCCTCTTGCTGTCCTTTCCCTCTTCCTGCAAGAAGCAGATATATGCACATGCTGCATTACAGCCTCAAGTAATGATACCTCCGTAGCTGAACTGGGATCTCCAGAAAGACAATCTTGTGCTTGCCGGTTGCCAGCCAGTTGTTCTTTGTTTCTTAGATCAAAAATGTCTAAAATATTTCTGTAATAGTTACAGCAGGTAGCGTGGAGTGCCAAGAGGCTGTTGGATGAGGAGGATCTTCCTTTTTAGTGTTACATTCGGTTGAATATTTCTGTTTGCCAAGAAATAATTGTGATTTGACATAATTTGGTTTTGCTGGTTTAGATTTGATTTTAGTTGTGTGCTTATAAATATGCTAGTAAAGGAATTGGTAATCTATTAAATGCCCTTGAACCTTTTTCAGTTTATGAATGTAATGGAAATAACACTTTTATAAAATATTAATAAAAATAATAAAAATTTAATAAAACATTTATTAAATATTAATACAAATAATATTTTTATTAACACCTCTCTGGTAGTCATTAAAATGTCCTGACTGCTGGAAGCAAGTAAGGTATTTTCTTTACCATTTATGCCCTCTATACTGTAGGTAGGGCAAAGTGATAATAAAGACACTGTGGTGTTAGAATAGTCCTAGGAACAATTAGACAGTAAGTATTATACATACCGAATGTTAAAAAATAATTATGCCATTTAAATTTTTCTAAAGACACTATGTTTGTGTGGCATTTATGTTATTTTGGGAGATCTAAGATGCTTCTTGCCTGTAGGAGAGTGAGGAAGGAGCACTATTCAGAAGTAGAATTCTGTGATTTAGTTTCTGTAGATTGAAACTAGCTGTTTTCTAGATTTGTGAATTAACAAATTCTTATCTCATCAGAGCCCTACAGCATCTTCTGTGGTATTTGTTTTCTAGCATATACCAATCATATAATTAAGTGTACTTTTAAATTTACAAATATTTTAAAGATAGGATTGTATATATACTCATAAATATTATCTGTAGAGTTTTGTACAAGAAACACTTCTTTTATGTGTTCAGATTGAAGAATTTTTACCACTTGTCTAAGGAAAATAAAATAAGTTGAACTGAGGTGGTTCTGCATGAACGCGTGGGCATTTTTCATTCTACGCTGTACTGGTGCTGTAGGATTTCTTAGAGATCAGTGTTGGCTAGTTCATTTAAAAAGATGTAAAACTTTTAATATGTTTATTGATAAATAAAAATTACTGATGCTGTAATGTAGTATTGTTTAGATTGCTTTTCTTAAGTAGAAACAGTGCCACTTGTATCATCCTCATCTCTTACCTGACTGTGGCACTTAGCGGGCAGTTGGAATAATAGGTGACGTGGCAGAATATCTGTCTGCTCAGGGCAGTTTGAGCAGGGAGCTGAAAGATGCTCTTTGGATTGAAAAACACTTCCAACTGACTGTCCAAACTTAAGTTTCATACATTAGGGTCCTCGTAGTAGTAAATCCTGTTTCTGACGTATGGGTCGTGAGAAGTGTACATATGCATAAAATCAAATTAAGTATTGTGCAAGATCTGGAATTTGCCATTTTATTTAAATTTCAGCTCAAATTATGAGTAGATGTTAATAAAAGCGTAGTGTTCAACTTTCTGGGCTGGTGCAGGGAATAAAAGTTCAGATTTACCAGTGTTAACGCTTTTAGTTGTTTGTTTATTAGCATGCAGATCAGACCCTGACATTAGCATGTTTACTCCTTGATATATGGTTTCATCTGGAAGAGAAACTTAAATATTCAATTTTTTTCCCCCAGCTTGTCAAGTAATTATGAAGCTCAAATGAAGAGTCTCTTAAGGATCGTGAGGATATTTTGTCATGTCTTTCGCATTGGCCCATCCTCTCCCAGTAATGGAAATGACATGGGCTACAATGGAAATAAAACTCCAAGAAGTCAGGTGTTCAAGGTCAGAAAAGTATATGATGTTGTTAGGAAGATAGACGTTAAAGAGATGAATTTCACAAAGCATGCATTCATTAATCAGACATCACATGAACAGGAAGTAAGTTTGGTTGATGTCCCTATCCCTTCTTAAGTTAAGTCTACCTCTTCTCTTTATTTATTTATTTATTTTTTTTTCCACTAGAGTCATTTAACCGCTGATGCACATCTCATTATTTCTGTTTATTTCTTGTTTACTTTATTGTTTATTAGATGCTTGAAGGTTTGGTTACGCAGTTGTTTTTCCATGAACTTTGGTTTTATTCCTAATTTTATTTTTAACAATGCAGTAAGCTGAAAATGTGCTAATATTAAGCAGTAGAATAGACTGTACCAATGTAACCTCAAAATCATTTTTAGGGGTGTATTGGTTGTGCTTATGATTCAGTTTTATCCAGCTTCACAAGATGAATGGAAATAATTGAATTCTTAATCTATTCATTGTTTGCACTTTGATTATGAATTTTTTTCCCCGATTCCTGCACTTAATTACTACATACTTTGAAACTTACGATTTTACTACTACACTCAGAAGTATATTCATTTATAGAAGCTTTCAAGCACATGCTTTAGGTGCTATCCATTTTTGTGCTTAATTTCTGAAGGTTTATGTTACTTCTTGGTGAGGAGTACCTAAATAGCATGAACTGAAGGGTTTGGACTTGTTTTATAGCCAGTTTGCTTTCACTCTCTTATACAGCATGATTTATATCTCAAAATGTGTATATGCCAGTAATTACATGATGTGAATTTTCCTTAATCTCAGCATTTCCTGCAGCACTTTCTGAAAATGGAATATTTTCAAATGCTACATTTATTTGATGTTTTGGTCTGTTCATCAGGTTATCACTAATGACTTTTAATATAGACTGGCATTGGTAAAGTCATGTAAGGTGATACTCTCATTGCGTCATTACAACTGTATTTCTTTAAGTAGATTATTTATTTATTTATTTTTATTGAGGAAAAGAAACCCCTTTTTCTCATAGCAAAGTAGCTAAAACATGCCAGGTTAGATAACAAGCAAATGCTCAGCATGTTTAAAAAGGGCAAATCAACGGTGAGACAGCTGTAGAAACAGTCTGTTATACCTTATTGTCCAGGCTTTAGGAGTAGCAGGTTTCATCTCTGTACGAGGTTTCACTTATAGCCCCAGAAGGGCCACACGCTGCGTGCTGGGATTTTTAAAATCCACCTGGATGCCACCCTGTGACCTGTGCTCTGGGTGGCCTCGCTGGAGCAGGGGGTTTGGACTAGATGATCTCTAGACGTCCCGTCCAACCTCAGCCATTCTGTGATTTTTCAACTCTGAATCAGAGCTGAATTCACTTCAGAATTCCCTTAAGATAACAATTATTGAACTGCAGTTTGCAAAACAAGTACTGTTTTGGGTAAGTCACTTCCTTAGCTGTCTGGCCAATTCTACTTTGTATGCTGAAAAATTGTTTATTAATTTGGTATGGAGTTAAATCTAGTGCAGAAGGCTTGTATTGCTCAGTTGACCTTGTCCCAGAAAAATATCAGTAATCTTATCTGTGTAAAAACAATGGTTATTATTTTTAATAAACAAGCAAAATATATACTAATATTCTACTAGCTAAAATTTTGAGGCTGGCTTTAAGCTTATTATTGTTTATTTTAATTGATATACTTATTTTAAAGTCTAAAAGTTGAGACAGAGGTCAATGCTTTCTCCTGTGATATTTCTTAAGGTGATTCAAATTTCTGAGTTTAAATATAAGCCTGGCAATGCAGACTTACTGGCAGCACATGGGTTTGCTCAGAGTAATTTGTTCTTACCTGGATTTACAATAACTGGATCGTAGTGTTATGTCCAGTCCTCTGAGTCCATTGGACACCTTCCCATTCCCATTCCTTTCTTCCCTTTTTTTTTTTCCTTTTTTTTTTTTTTTTTTTTTGACCCTTTCTTGAACATGGTGTTGTTAAAAGAGAGACAAGAATCCCAACTATATTGCTAGGTTATTACAGTGATACAGAGGCTACTTGAAGATCTGGCTTCATTGTTTAGTACTGATACTTTAATCTAGAGTAAAAGGTTTTTCTTTTTTAATTAAAAGAAGCACCAGGTGCATGTGGGACATGTGGACATTCATGTGAGTGGACCAGAATTCTGGTTTTTTTGATGCAGACTGTGTACCTTCTAAGTACAAATGGCTAAAGAATCCATAGATGATTGTTCCAAAACACATTTTAATCTATATTAAAAAAAATAAAAAGCACTTTGGAGCTTCTTTCATGAAACCTGAAGACTTTGAACTTTCTGATTTTTCAATGCTGAAAACTCTAGAGGAAAGTACCTTTAAAATGGAATTTGCTGCTGATCTTATAACTCAGTTGTAGGGATAAATGTCTGAGGTAATCTGAATGTTGCTACAGTTTTTTATGAAGGAAAAGTCTTCATGTTGCTGCATCCTGTCCCTCCCTTCCTGCCTACCTTAACAAATGAAGACCACTAGATATGGTCTTACTTTAGTATATAGGAAGCTAATTTGTTATTCAATACAGGGTTCTTCTAGGAATCATCTTGGAAACTTTGGGCAGGTTTAGGGCAGTGGCAAAAAACTCTCTTTTTGGTAATTATGAGAGGTATGCAGTGGAGCATTAGTCAAGCCTTATTGCACAGGATAAATAGTGTAAGGGCGGTTCTCTCAGTCTGAACACACTCCTCCTATGTTGCACTGTGCTTAGCTTGGAAATATTTGAAAATGGGACTACAGCTTGGTCAGGTTATTGAAGAATTTAATCTCAGGACAAGAAAATGACGTGTCCATCTTTGCTTTTCTCAAGTCCCATATATGTAATTCATTACAGGCTTTTTCAATTTGGGCCTATCTAGATGTCTTGAGGTAGCATTACTAGCAAATTAAAACACAGTTTGATATACCAGTCTTGTTAGAAACAAAATAGCCATTGAATTTATACACCAAACTTAGGAGGAAAAGAAAAACTTACTGAAACTCAAAAGAAATTGTTCTCTTTGTGTTGAGTAAGATTAGAAAAACATACTCCACCTTCTCCAATTGAAAAATTGTAGTATTTTCTCCTGCTCCCAATTCTCTTGACTTTTAGGATCAAGTTGACTTGTCTGCTGTGACGGAGCCCCTTTATGGACTGATGATCCGTGTATTTTAAGATCTGTTTATCTGTCACCTGGCTTGGCTCCAGTGCAGCAGTTGGAATACGGGTTTGGTCTTCAGTGTCTTGCTTTCTAGGCTAGTATCGTGGAGGCTGTTCCATGGCTAAGTTAGTGGGTTTGAGACCGTAGGCATGCAGCTGCAGAAGAGTTGTACTCGATCAGACTCTGATGCGTAGTGCCAAAAGAAGTTTTCCCAAGCAAGGCTGAGTGGAAGTTTGTGTTTCACATGCACTTTGTGATAAGAATCAAGTGAAGAATGCTAACATGGACGGGTTTGGGGGAAGGAAAAGAAACTTGCTAGTGATTTGGTTGAGTGTGTCCGTACTGAAATGAAAAGGGCTGGTCGCAGATGCAGGTGTAAAATGCTGACGGACGTGGATGAAGGTGGTGGGCAGTATGGAGAGAGGCTTTCATGGCACTGTGAGGAAAGACTTTATGCTCTGAAGCTGGACTTGAAAAAAAGCAAGTGAAATATTCAAGTCATTAGGCCTGACTATGCTTTGGAGTAAGCTTATGATAAGCATTTGTGAAGTTCTAGTTTTGCCAAAACAAGTTGGTTATCAGAGTCCTGAAGGACTTGTAAAGCCTGGGGAAGAAACTAAGGAATCAGGAATCAGGAATAAGGAATTAAGGATTAAGGAAACCCTGGAAATCAGTAGAAAAAGTGTTTTGCAGGCTAAGCAACGGAAGAGTTAGGAGAAGAAAACTGTTTGAGAGGTGAGGGTTTTCTGGTAAATAACTACCAGACAATTTTCCCTTGTTGAGTTGTATGTTGTGAGTTATACACAGCTGCATTCTCATTTTTCCATATGTTCAGTAAATCTTATTTTCCATTAGAATGCTTGTTTTTAAATTGTGTTTTGTGGTGAAGGTCTGGCAGGTGGTTTTTGGAAAGAAGCCAAGTGCTTGGTCTTGTATGGCAGACATTTAAGCAGAAAATGATACCTCTGCTGGAGGTATTCAGAGCACTGGCTGGAGAAACGTGGGTAGTCCAAGCACAAGGTACTTTTTTTTTTTTTTTTTTTTTTTTTTTTTTTTTTTTTAATTTTTAAATAAAACACTGGAGTGTTTTAACAAGTAAATGTCAACAGGTCTCTGAATGCCCAGTGTTTGCCTATTGGGAGCACGTGGCTACTAGGTGTCAAATGGTGTAGACTTATGGTGCTGTGTGCTGCAAAAAGCTCTCAGTCTTTGAAGACAACTTTAGAAACTGAGAATGTAATTTTCAGCATCTGATGGTCTTTAAATGCTTTAATTGATGAAAGATGTTGATGGTACAGTAATATTATAGACAAGGAAATGCATTAGATGTTCACGTTTTGGAATGGAAAAATCGTAATAAAAACCTTTATCAATTTTGCCTCCCAGTAAGCATCCCTGTATTCATTGATGTACAGTCATGAAATGTTCCCTTAAACTTCTTCACGGAGCAGTGTAATCAGTCCTTGTGTTTTTTGAAACAACAGATTTTTAGTAATTTCTCTCCATTCTAGTAAGGCTGCACCTGAGAGCAAATGCACAGCGATAGAGTTGTGCCAAATTTGGGGTTGTTTAGTACTTCAGTGTTCTGCTTCTGCTAAATTGTTTTGCCTTTAGTCCATATGCTACTCAATTGTTTTCCTTCTACAGGAAATGTTCTCTTCCTGTACTCTCTGGCTAGGAGTAAAGATTTTTTTTTTGAGCATTTGATTCTTTTCTCTAATAATATTTCTAAAGTATTATCAAAACAGCAGTATGCACAATACGTATTTCCGTTTGTGTTAATGATGTGATAATTCTCTCTAACGTAAATCTGTCCTTTTTTTCTGTCTCTTTTGCATGCCTTTGCTGCAGCCGCTGGAGCTGCTCTGGCACTCCTTAGACGAGTGGCTGGTGCTGATAGCCACGGAGCTCACGAAGAACAGAAGGGCCTCGGCCAACATTACATCCCTTCTGCTGAAGCAGAAGGGGCCGGATGACCAGGATGCTGCTCCCCCGGCCGCCTTGGCCGCAGCGGGCACGGAGAGCAGCAAGGAGCTGCCCGCAGACGCTGGGGATCCCACAGCGCTCGGTGGTGCCGGGAAGCAGGAGGCCTGTGCTGATGGCCAGGACGTGGTCTCCATGACGGCCAACAGGCTCAGCGCCGTCATCCAGGCCTTCTACATGTGCTGCTCCTGCCAGATGCCTCAGGGGTAAGGAGGGCCCCACTCACTACCTAAACTCTATTTTTAAAAGCATATATGCTTGTGTGGGAGAAAGTTGATGCTGGCTGGATGAAATTAATGACTCTCTGGGGAATGCTTTCAGTAGGAAGCTTTCACCAGGGCAGTTATTTGGATGGTTTCTTTTCCTGCTCTAATGGCACCTCCGAACAACAGAGCAGGTTTTCTGTAGGGCTGATGCTCTGTGCACCAAGACAGACTCCCTATTGAATGTCTAGTGGCTTTTTTAATCTGGTGGGATACTTGGACGAAATGTCCTTTTGATGTTGAAATTGGGTCATTTCTGCTGTTGGTTCATAATCGTGAAATTGTTTCTAAATTTAACACGATTATCCAAAAACAGTTATAAATGACATAAGGAAAAGAAAAAAAAGGGAATTAGTTTGTGAAATGGGCAGCTGGAGCAACACTCGTTTGGCTGCACTGCAGAGGATTATAATGAGAAGCCTTTCACCTCAATGTAACACCCAGTTGGAATTTTGCCCCAGGTTGGCAAACATTATTTTGTGTGGAACTGCTCCCACAACTTATGTTTTGTTATTTTCTGTATCTGATTTAAAAAGAATGAGCCCCTCTGTAACTGAGCTTGCCTGTCTAGAATTGGCATGGATAATATTTAATAACTGAGCTTACTTGGTGTGGTGCAAGTAAAACATGGAATTGCTGAGAACTATAAAGCTGGAGGGGCCCTTGCAGGGAGAGGATCCCTTGACCCTCTTGAGCTGAGGATTAGGCAGGTGTGGTGGGATGACCAAGTCCCTGGGGAATCTTGAAATTCAGGCAACATCCTCCTTACTTTGCTCCATAGCAACTTGCTTGGTTAGTCCAGCTGCACGGAGAATTTCTCTTTCTCTGCTTAAGCCTTCAGAGGAGGAAAAAGCTTTCAAAGCAGCAAGTACTATTTGTCTGGGCTACTTCAAGCAATCCCTTCCCTGTGGATGTTCTGGAGATCGGCACATTCAACAAGCACCTCTGCACTTGGACTTTTAAATTTTACCTGCCACGGATAAGGAGCTCCTGCTTAGCTGTTGCCTTGGAAATGTCCATCAAAGCGTGTCAGGATAAACATCCAAATGAACAGCAAAAATCTTTATAGAAGTGCTTTTCTTTTTTCTTATTTTATCTGTTAATACTGAGGTAAAATCGAAGTGCTTCCCTTCCTCTGTGCAGCTCATCTTCTGACAACTTGTCAGATGTCTCTGCACACCTCACGCTTCGATTTATTCTGATCCTTATGGAGAACCTCAGTGGATTTGGGATAGGTTTAATGGCAAGTTCTTGCTGTAGGAGCCAGGAGAGGAAGGACTGAATTAGTGACCCGGTGGTAACTGAGAGAGCTACTTGGCATACAGGAAAAGTAAGGTGGGAGCACACCAGAAAGTTAAGAAATCACTGAATGTAAAGAAAAGGCAGGCATGTGAACTCTGAAAATGTTTAAAATATTAAGGCTGTTTTCTTTTAGCTAAGCTGAACACTGTAAAGTAAGTTTCTTCTCAGTGAATCATGTGACTTGTATGGCACCTTACAGGAACAAAGAAAAACCCTCTTCTATTTGTTTAATAATTTCAGGTCATTTTGGAAGAACTGTCTTAAAATTTCCATGTTTGGTCTTTGCCTGAAAGATTTTTACTTGATTTTGTTTTTTTTTTTTTAACCCACCAGTTCTTATTTTCTTTGCATTTTATCCCCCCTAAAAAAAACTTCTAAAATTTAATTTAAATCATTTTGAATTTCATTAAGTAAAAGCATCTTATATTTTCCTTCAAACAGAATGACCTCACCTCGTTTTATAGAATTTGTCTGTAAACACGATGATGTCCTTAAGTGCTTTGTTAACCGGTAAGCTTTGACTAACATACATACCTACATACATATATATATATATATATATATTTTTATTTATTTCCAAAATAATTCAAACTCTTTTTTCCTTTTTTCTTTCCGAGATATATTTTTAGGTTATTGCTGTTACAGATGTGTCATGCACGTAAATGATCTTGTCAAATCAAGGGAGTGTATTTAAGTGGACTGTTCTGTATATATAAGCAACCTTCTTGTGAGCTTTTGTGAACGAAAGCTTGTTCACGTGACAGATTTTTTTTCTCATCCTTGCTGAAAACAGAATCTTCCTGTTTGAGGCAGATTAAAATTTTCCTTCTTCACATATGCTATACATAGTGAATTTTTAAAAGTCTCAGTCGTCTTCGTTTACTTGTCTGCCTCCAGAGTGTCTCTGGAATTGCCAGGCGCTCATCCTCTTCTGTCTGGAGAGACATAGCTCCCACTTACAGAGGGTGATGTCATATAAGTCATTGGAAGCAGAAGTTAAGAAAACATTACAGAGCTAAACATATCCTTTGGTAAAGTTCTGAGAAATTGTCTCTTTATGTAGGCTGGCTGTATCATGAAGCAGTATTTGATCTGTGACTGTGAGGCGTCTAATGTAAAATATTTTTCTTTCAGAAACCCCAAAATAATTTTTGATCATTTTCATTTTCTTCTTGAGTGTCCTGAACTAATGTCCAGATTTATGCACATCATAAAAGCACAGGTAAAAGTTAAGAAATGCTTATTTAAAAATTCTGTAAATATAAAGAGGGTGTTTTAAAAAAGCCCATTTAGGTAAGACAGAAGGGCTAAGTGTGACCTCTACTGATTCTGAATCTGAGATGTTGAAAGACTTGGATCATCGAGTGCGCAGAACTCCTGCTGCTTTGTCTATTTATTTAAGTCTTTTCAATTCATGCATAAGTCCATTTTTGTTTGTAAAAGACTTAAATATAAGACTTCAGCTTCAATTAAAGAACGTGACTTTCTGTTATTAGAACTGTTTGTACACATATAATAGATTCAACTCTTAATTTAAATTGTCCTTTTAAATTATTTCCTTATTTGACTTGTGCTCTGACACAAACTGGAGTGCCAGTACACCGTTGTTAAAGTGATTTGGCCATAGTTGAGTTAGTGGCAGCTCCTTCAGTGCAGTATCATACTGTCATGTTTCCCCTAGCTCTGTTTCCTGCTATGTTCTTTTTTTTTTCTTGAATACAATCCTGATGTTTTGCATAACCTAAGCTCACTTTCCAGTGTAACACAAAACTCAGAAGTGAAGAGTTGCTCTAGGCAAAGCCAGTATGTTTGCTTTCAGTTTTCTGTAATGAAGAGGTGAAAAATTAACAAACAAAAAACCTGTTATGAAAGTTTGTTGCTTTGCCTAACACTGTAGCATTACGGTGACTTATTTTTAATCTAGATATTGCTCTCCTCCTTTCTCCTTTCTCCCAGCAGTAAGAATTTTTGTGCTGTTTTTCCCCAGTGTGACCAAGTTTAACCTTTTCAGTGTGCCTGCTGGTTCAGTATTCCTTCGCAGTTAAGGTTGTGTTTAGGCTTTTTCTCTTCCCAAAACACTAGGCAGTCTTTTAAGTTAGCACAGAGCCACTCTTTGCACATCTCAGAATGCATTGAGAAATGTGCACAACCATTTTTCAGATATGCATGAAAAACGAGATGAGAATTATCTAGTTGTGTGCATCTGTATAAATAAATGATAGAAACTGGTTAAAGGTAGTGAGGTTTCTGTAGGCCAGATAGGATTGAATGTGAGCTAAAAGGCAGATGGCTAGCATGCCATAACTTAGAAGGACAAAGCAAATGTTTTAAATACATACTTAGATGCTAATTTTATAGTAACTCTCAGTTAACTGTTTAGGGAGTGCCTGTTATAGTCAGATATGACTGGTTATGAAACTGCATAAAGGATGAGCAAATTGTGATTTTAAGAGGTAACATGGAGAATATCTTCAAAGAAAACTTTGATCATTAGAAATCATTACATTTTTGAGCTTATGAGCAAGCTAATTTGTTGTAAATATATTCAGTTGTCAGGGTCCAGAAACCTAATGTTGGGCTGACACTTCAAATTGTGCTTTATGTGCTTGTAATAGTAATATTTCTGCTTAATTGTCTTCCTTTTCTCTTTGTGAAGTCTGTGTAAAATTCATAGCTTATTGTCAATTCATGACCTTGCACTAGAGCTCTTCTGTGGATTTTAATATTGAAAGTGTCTGGTTTATTGCCAGCTTCAGAACTGATACTACAAATGTTTTACTCCTTGTTTTGTAGCCATTTAAAGATCGCTGTGAATGGTTCTATGAACATCTACATTCAGGACAGCCAGATTCAGACATGGTGCACAGACCTGTCAATGAAAATGACATCCTTTTGGTTCATAGAGGTATTGCATTGTGAAGAGAATAATACATTTTTGAAATGCATACTGCTATTAAGACAATGGATGAAAATATTAATTTAATTTCTGCTTCGTATTTAGATTCTATTTTTAGGAGTAGCTGTGAAGTTGTGTCCAAAGCAAATTGTGCCAAGCTAAAGCAGGGGATTGCTGTCCGATTCCATGGAGAAGAAGGCATGGTGGGTTAATGCTGGTTATATAATATAATTCAATATTTCACAGATATTGTTCCAAATTAAATCCTGATGTTAAAAGAACACTCCACTAAGAAATGAGTGGTTGTGTAGATTAACTGCCCAGTGGAAGTCCTATGTACTAATATGTTGTTTCATTCTTTCCATGTGCAGGGGCAGGGTGTGGTGCGTGAATGGTTTGATATTTTATCCAGTGAAATAGTTAATCCCGATTATGCCTTATTTACCCAGTCAGCTGATGGTATGTCTCTGTCTTATTTTTATAATTTTTAAATAGTATCTTCTTTTATGAAGATATTTTCATTAAGAAAAAAAAAAGTCAATTGATTCAGAATGCAAGATTGTTAGTTTTTTAATAGGCAGAATGAGAGAAGTATTTTTGTAAGTAAATAAATGATCTATTCAACATTTTTATACAAATTATATGTTTTTTAATTTGGAGTTCAATTAATTTTGTCCTCCATTTTGTTAGAAAATTATTGGGTTTAAGTCCATGCTGTTTCTAACCAGGAGTTTCTATCACTGACATTAGTATAGAAAGTGTAGTTTTTCATGCTAAGGAGCAGGAACAAAATATTTTTAAGCTGTATTAAGGGTAGATGAAATCTTTTTAGACAACCTGCCCTCCATCCCTCAAAACAGACATGCAAAGCCACTTGATGCATTCCTTCTGAGTAGAGCATATGAGCTGAATAGATGACAAAATAGCTCGTGCAGAACTTAGCTTTTAAATTGTTAGTTTTGTGTTTCTTATAGTTTTATTTTATTATATAAAATATATTTAATAAAAACAATATAAAGAAACATCTCATTCTCACCTTCCCCTATTATTTTTTTAATATTGAGTCTCAACTTTGTTTGCATCTAGATTTTGGGCATGTGTATTCAGAGGGCTTTATGGATGGTCTGGAACAAATACATTTTAATGCAGACTTCTGTAAAGGATAAAATTATGATTTGCACTGAACAGAATAAGTTATAATAATGTATATAGCTATAATATCTAGATTAAGAGTGCTTTATTATTGTTGGTAAAAAAAATAGAATTGGGACTTTCTAGAACTTGTGCTCATTTATGCATTCTGTAGGCATTGCTGTTCCTTCATCTAATAAAAGATATTGAACAGAAACTTTGCCAAAAGGTCAGGAATGTGTCAGAAGTGAGTCAGAAATGTCATCACTGAAAGATTCAAGTTACTAAAATAAGCTATAAAAGATATCAGGAACATGGAACTTGTTTATCTGTCTTCTCCTATAGTGTCAGAATGTGATATAGCACATGGAAAAAGATTGTACCCTTTTATTTCCTATATGCTGTCTTCTGTGGTTTCAGATGTTTATTTAACAAATATGAATGTCACTGTTTTAAACATATATATAGTAGTGAGGATGATAATGTCCTGTTTTATAGGAACAACTTTCCAGCCAAACAGCAACTCTTCTGTAAATCCAGACCATTTGAACTACTTCAGGTTTGCTGGCCAGATCCTGGGATTAGCTCTAAATCACAGGCAGTTGGTGAACATTTATTTCACGAGGTCGTTCTACAAACATATTCTTGGTATGGTTTTATTAAAATTTTATTTAGTTCTCTGAATAATCTGTTAGTAACTGGAGTGGTTTGTACAGTAAGGTGTTTTCTTTGTGTGTATTGAAATTTAATGAGAATCTTGGAAAAGAAGCATCAGAGTTGCAGCATAATATGGCAGTAATTGCTACTTCAGTTTAAGCATCTCTAAAAGTGTTTTAAAATACAGAAATGCATTAGCACAGGTATATAGGAACTTTATAATTTTAGGAACTTTTTTTAAGAAAAATAGCTAATTTTTCAATTTATATGTCAAACTTTTGGCTTTTTTTTTTTTAAGCACCCTTCTAAAGCATAGCCATATAATTTAGGAGACTTTAATCTTTAGTATTGCTTATTTAACTGGGAATATCTGAAAGGCAGACTGGTTTGGCCAATTTGTTCTGTTTTAATGCTACTCCTTAATCATCTTTGGAAGTAGAAAGTTTTTCCTTCTCCCAGGAAGCACTTTGGTTAGGGCCTACAAGGGCTCTCAGGAGATTCTCGTTCTGTTTTTCTATAACCATTCTGTCTATCTGCAGTCTTTCAGTGATGTTTGCTGAGTCTGCATTAAATGAGCTCTTAAATTCAGATTTAATGTGTCCCTGCTTCCTTTCTGAAGATGTCAGGCCTTGTGCTGTCACAGGCCTGTTGATGATGCTGACAGACACAGTTGTCTGTGTCAACATCTTACATGAGCCTGGGGATATGTTTAAATTCTGTACCTTAAAACTACCCTCTGCTGTTGAACAGTTACTAGGATTTCTTTAGCTCTGTACTGGAAAAGAACCCGTGCAGGATAGACAGGCTGAAAACAGCATCACCTTGTCCGTGCCACATAAGTTTCCTTAGTCATTGATCTTAACATAAGGAAAGTATCAAAATGCCCATCTCTTGTTCTTATATTCCCGGTTGTTCAACCTGTTCTTATATTGCCAGTTTAAAGGTGTCTGCTGCTTTTGAAATCTTGGGCTTTCTGGAGTGCATTTCAGGTTACTGTGCTTGTTCTTCTTCATATCCAGATGCCCAGAGAACAGTTGTACTACGTGAACATTTGGTGTAACATGTGAGTAGGTGATGGGCAACTGAAAGGCAAGATGGCTTCTCTTCTGACAGAATGTATGCATAGATTTCACACATACATGAGATACATATATGGATACATATATTTCATACAGATGTCCATATATATTTTCATGACTATTCCAAACTAAGCAGCCATATGTAGTCTCTATTAGTAAGATGTTATTAAGAGGGACTGGTAAGGTCTTGTTATTTTGGTTAGCAGGCATTTTGAAATTCTCAAGATGATTGCACACATTCAGTTTCTTTAAGTTCAAAACATTCATCAATTTTGTTAATCCCTTTAATTTCTTCAATCCTCAGAGCCTGGTAGCACTTTTGCTTTCTCAAGTGGTTGCTCTTTCTGCCTCCTTTTTGATGATTTTTTTTAAGCTTTTACAAAGTCTTTTCCCTAGGCCTTTGTGTATACTGTGTTCTTGCTTAGGGAATTTGAGTTTCACAGCAGTAGCTTCTCCTGAGGGCTGTTTGTGTTTGTTTTATTTTATTTTGTTTCAGGTTGAGCTGTGGATTTTGCTAACTATTGTTCATGCCACATAGAGATTAGCAGGTTACAGACATCATAGAGATTCCCTTCAGCTACTTGAGAGATATTAAGTAATGGAGTGTAAAAGCTCCATTTGAATCCCGAGGCTGTTCCTTTCCTTTGCTTTTTCATCTGCCTTGTTTTTTCTTAGGCTTTCCTGTTAGTGGTGATACTGAATCCACCAATTATATGGTAAAACTTCCTGTATCTGTCAAATAGTGTGAACCTCTTTCAAAGGGATTCTTCTCTTTGGTCAACATAGGTGAAGTGGAAGTGCCATAATTAGAAGCTGAAACCTTAACAAATTTGGCCACTTTTTTTGAAACTTGATTGATACATCACCTTTTTCTGCGCTGTGAGGAATTGAGATATTTCTGTAACAAAATCAGGTAGAGAAGATCACTTTCTTTTTTTTAAACTAATGACCCAGCTAACACCTAACTAATATACCTTAAAACACATTAAGTATATAGTTATCATGATTTACTTTTGTCTTATTAAATCAGACATTTTTTCCAGCGTTTCTTTTGCTAGTTAGGGCTGCACTCTTGCTATGAATGCAGAAATATAATCAAATCAAGGCTTCTTATTTTCTCAGACTGCCTATTTGTCTGTCTTCTGTTTTAAGCAGAGGAAGAGAGTGCTTCACTGGTGCTGTTATCCACCTACTCTGTAGCTGTCCTAAGGTTTCTAAGGAACCATTTCATTTTTACTATTTTAAAAAGGAAGATTCTGACAGGATCTCAGACTGCTACTTTTCAGTGGTTTCTCAAGATTTGCTTACATCTCGCAGCATAATTTCTGCATTTCATGTTTGAAATGCATCTATGCTTGCTACCAAGAGAAAATGAAGGTTCTGCCGAAATTCCTGGATAGCTGTTAAGTTTTAGGGAGAGATGACAGTGAAAATTCAATGCTAAGTTTTATCTTTCCATTTCTTCAAAAAATTGCTTGTTTCTTTTATTAGAAAAAAATGCCTTATGGTATATGGTATATACAAGAACTTCACTGTTCCAGCCCAAGTTGGGTCCTCTAGTGAACTAATGCCTAACACTTTGTGTTATGGCTTGATGTATTTTTTCCAGTTCATAACATGCTAAGAGTTCTTCTAATGGAAGTCTGTTCTGTCACTGCAAACACAGAGAAGATGCTGAAGCAATAACTTATTTTTCTCTTTCTTTTCCCTTTCTAGATACTTATTAGGTAAAAAAAAATCTTTGTTGTTAAGAGGGTGGTTCTTTTGCACAAATTCATTGTCACCTTGTTCTAGACATGTTTGCTCAAATCTGTGCTTATGAACTGTGCTGAGGAAAGGAATCCAAACAGGTAGTCTCTGTACTTGGCCAAAGTGATGAATCTAGCAACTCTGTATCCTTCAATCTCTTAAAATGATTTTTAAGTTCAATTTGGTAACATGCAATTTCTGTACATCTGTTTCCCAATGACAGCAAAAGACTGGAGAGTAGAAGGAATTAAAAAAAAAATTCTGTGTGTGCATATATTATAAAGCTTCTTTAGAGGGAAGAGATGTTGAATAGCAAAATAAGATATTTCTGTTTCTAAGAACTTTGTAGAAAACATTTTTTTTTGAGAGAGAGAGATTTGTTTAGCATTGAATATATAGATAGGTGCTTGCACTGAAATCATTATTGTCGTAAAAATCTGCAAGCTGTTGTGGTATAATGATTAACTTTTTGGTTAATATTGTTATAATGTGTTGGGGGTGCATACATAAAGTATAATTTTGTTCTTTGATACCTCTAAAATACAGTAAGTAGTAGAATTCTGCTCTAGATAATGGTGAATGAATCTTTCCCCTTTTCTACTATTGCATTATTCAGGATCATCTCTAGAGGGCAATCTTCTACCATGTATTAGGTTAGAACTCTTTTTTTGCTTTATCCAATTTTTTTTTTTTTTTTCCTCAGGTATACCTGTTAATTACCAGGATGTAGCATCTATTGATCCAGAATATGCAAAGAACTTGCAGTGGATTTTGGATAATGATATCAGTGATTTGGGCTTAGAGTTGACCTTCTCTGTTGAGACTGATGTGTTTGGAGCAATGGAAGAGGTGCCCCTAAAGCCAGGGGGTGCCAGTATACTTGTCACACAGGATAACAAAGTGAGTATACAGGTTCATGCTGAAGTTGGTAGTATAAAAAAAGCAATTGGACTGACTTCCTGAATAACTGATAGCATAAGTTATAGACCATTTTAAAGGAAACATACAAGAAGTTCTCAAATCTGTTACTTCTTTGTTTAGGATGACATGTTATAAAAGGGGTACTGCTGTTAAAAAATCTCTATAAAAGTTTTCAGGTTTGAGGCTGTCTTTCTGACAGAATAATTGAAAGGAAAATGAGATCAAATTTAAAGAAAGAGTTAACTTTGGCTGTTGCAAATATTCCTAAAGTTAGGTGTTGGAGGAATTTGGGGAAGGTAGAGCTGTAGCAATTGTCAGAAATAGAGTTGTAAGTAGCCCCGCAGGGTGTGCAGTCCAGGGCACTGCTAGTTTGCTCTGCAGTAACACATGGAACCAATGACTGAATAAATGGGTACAGTTTCTCACTTTTCTTATAACTGCAGAAAACTACATGTTTTCATGCAGTTAGTCGGAAAATCAGATTCATGTAGTTTAACAGTGTATGTTACTTTCATTTTAGTAAATAAAACTCATTTAAAAAGAGTGGGAGAGGCAGTGTCTTACACAGCCAGCACTAGGATTTAACGGCATAACACTTGAATTGCACTTAAACAGATGACTGTAGCTGAATAGCCCCTCTCCCTCCTTCTCTTCCCTCTCTCCCACCTGCGTTCCTGGGGAACCAGACATCTTGTGCTCAGTGATCTGCTATTTCTGTGTGTTACCAGAACAAATCTACAGTATGCTGTTTCTCTATACTGAACATATGGTAAACATGTTACTGCTGCTTGCTACAGAAAAACTAAATCGAAGTCTAAATGGCATTTCAATTATCAACTATATATGTTGTGCTCAGTGATCTATAAACTCTATAATGCCTGGGTCCAGGGAGAAAAACTGTGAAGAGCTCCTAATTGGGTAGAGATTTCTAAGATTCGGTGCTCTGATTGATGCTTAATGTGCTATGCGTACCCACAACTGAAAGACTAATTAGTTCTTAGTACGTAGCACTAAGGACTGCAAAAGTTTCTTCTGCTCAGACTCTTTACTTAAAAGTTCTAGTTTAAATAATATAACTTCAAGTGTTGTTTAAAAAGATTTAGTAAAGCTGAAATTCAGAATTTTATTCAGGTAGTTTATATTGAAGTATGCATTTAGCAATTTTTTTTGTGGATTATTGATGCTTTTGAAATGATGTATATTTTTCTGTTATTTGTATACATACATATAAATGGGCTGTGCATACGTGTCTCTGTATGTGCAGAGAAATATGTAAAAAATAGAAAAAATAGCTCCCTGGTGGTCTATTTAACTGGTGCCAGTGACCAGATGGTGTATGAATAGAATGAAATTCAGATGGTTTTGCTGTTGGTAAATGAAGTACTTAGTCCTGGAGGAAGTTTTCTGAACCATGTACAAGTAATGCAAAGTGTTTGGAAGTAATTTCTTTTTTCAGTTTAATTGAATGGTAACAGTTTGGTACCCAAACACTAAAAAAAAAAAAAAAAAAAAAGTTCTTGAATTGTCTGCAGCATTAATTTAAAAAGGAAACAGAAATAAATAATGCAATTGAATTTTGAAGATCATCCGGATATCTCAGATGGGCATCCTTTAATTCAACCTCCAGCTCCTAGCCAGATAGCTTTGAGTAGCTGTGGGACTGCCATGGATAGACCTGCTTCTTTTTCTTTTGTATGGCTGTTTTCATCCTTATGTCTAGATCCTTAAATTTCTTTAATTTTGCACTAATCTAAACTTACTTCCTTCGAGCATATACAGTATTTATTCTGCTTTACTGGTAACTTGGTTGCTATATTGGTAAATGGCCACTTGGTGTCAGCATTTGTTTTAACAAAATTTAAGCTTCTGGGAGCAGAAGGTACTGGATTCTTGTATGCTAAATCCTCATTTCCATTAAGGTGCAGTATCCTTTCAATAACTGCAGTACCTTTTAGCCACATTTTGCAGTATCTTCTCCTATAAAATTATTGATGAAAAGATATAGATGGTAAAACATTTAACTGCAAAGGCAGCACATAATATCTTTATTACCTATGAGAGAGGGCAAAGACAGATTCTTGTTTCTAGCAAAAATTCTTGAAGAATTTCTTGTTAACTTCTCAGTATATAAAATTGAAATACACTGTGCATTCATAATTAACATTCTAAAAGTGGTTGGTATTTTATCAGTTTGCACAAAATTAGAAGTTTGTTCACATTGGAGATGATCATTAATAGCTTATGTAGCTCTGTTAATTCCTGACTTGAGAGTCAGATGAAAAAAGGTAGCTGAACACATCCACGATGGGTGAATCGGTGCGAGTGCTAGAGTTTATAGAGTTTATGTAGGACTAAATTTTATGTATTTTTTTTATTGTTATTGTTAAGAATGCTAAAAACAGCTAACCGTTACAGTAGCTTCTAAGCCATTAACACTAGTTGATATTTTGAATGTTAAGGCTGTAAATCTGTAGTCAAAAATGTATAGAAGATGGCTCTGTCTCTCTTGTTTACTGCTGATTTTAAAAGCAGGCATTGTAAAATTGCTGTCTTGAAGCAGATTTTCTACGTAGTTCTCTTGGGAATTGTCTTTTATTATTTCATTATTAGAAATGATGATTAGGAAGAAAAAGGACTACTTTGAAAACGACTATCTTAAATAGTTCAGGAATAGATTTTATCCGTAAGGAGAAAGCTCTTTTTTGAATAAAGAACCTGTGTTAAACTTGTGTAATTTTGTCAGGGTAAACGAGACCTATTTGTACAGCTTAACACAAAATCCCGCTGATTTAGTACAGGCATTTGTAAGTTGGTCTTATTTTAACTACCTTCTAAGCCTTTTTGTTTTCAACAAAAGCAAAAGCAACCCTCTTGCTTGCTGATCTGACTCTTTCTAAAGGGAACAGAGCTTCCGAACTGGTGATATCGTGGCTATTCATATGCTTATGGTATAAATGCTTTTCTCTCTCTCTCTCTGTCTCTGTCTCTCTCTCTGTCTCTGTCTCTCTCTCTGTCTCTGTCTCTCTCTCTGTCTCTGTCTCTCTCTCTGTCTCTGTCTCT